TTGTCCCCTGCTTCGTATGAATCGTATAGTGTTTTGTTGTAAGGATTTGAAAGATCCACGGCATCGATAAATAAAGCAAAGGTGAATTCCTCAAAGCAATAAAATTTGAAAAGAAAAAAGTTTACCTAAAAAAAAAGAAAAGACATATCCAACAAATGAACTGAACTTAAAAAGTTCAAAAACAAAGGGCTTAGTGGCTTTCTCACCATCACGTTTAAGTGCCTGGCTGAGTCAGTGAGGACTAATCTGTTTCACTGGTGGGGCCAGCGCCCGGTTTATGACCTCCCAGTGTGTCCTGTCACCCCATGTAGTCTGTCTAAGCCAGTAACAGCAGAACTGTTATTCCCCAATGATGATTTCTATTAAAAAGTTCAAGTACTAGAGATTCATTCGGATCTCAGACTCCAGGACTAAAGCAGCACTGATAAAGAGAGGACCAGTGTTGAGTCCTACAGCACATCTTTTCCTAAAACACAGGGCAAAAGTACCACTCAAGATAAGTAAGACCATTTCCCACCTCCTGAGCCACACTTCTACAACACTGACTCTAAGAGCCACTCTCGTTGTAAGCAAGTGTCCACAGGCTAACAATCTATATTGTTGCTTTGTAAAGATTCCAAATGAAAGGGCACTCCACTTTTACTCTAAAAACTACTATCCTCAACTCTTGCTGCACATTGTTTTTTATGTTTCCTTTTAGCTACCTCCCTCCCCATTTTTTTCCATAAACAAAAGTGCACTTTTAATTTAAAAAAAAAAAATTTTAATCTTTATTTATTTTTGAGAGACAGAGCGTGAGCAGGGGAGGAGCAGAGAAAGAGGGAGACACAGAATCCAAAGCAGGCTCCAGGCTCCGAGCTGTCAGCACAGAGTGCAACGCAGGGCTCGAACTCACAAACCATTGAGATCATGACCTGAGCCTAAGTCAGCGGCATAACTGCCTGAGCCACCCAGGCACCCCAAAAGTGCACTTTTTTACACGCATCTCAGGTTTGATGTCAAGTAGACAAATCACATTTCAGTATCTCAGCAAACAAAAACATAAAAATGTCTTGCCCAAGATTATTCCTTCTTTAAACTGATTACCAGGTTTAAGTTTTACAAATTCTTAGTAAATTCTCCAAATTGAAAGCTTGAAAAAACAGGGAAAATACACAACGCTATTTCCACTCAATGGAGTATTAACTGCACAGCTCAACAGATTTATGGGCAACAAGTGAAAAAGGGAACCAACATACACAGCATGTATATTTACATAAATAAAAACGTGTAGCTTTGCTTTATATGTGCACATGTGTTTATAATTTTTAAAAAATTTGAAAGACCAAGCATCAAACATATTGTCTGGAGCCAGAAAAGACTCACCTTACATATTCAATAAGCCCGGAAGGTGTTTTATTTTTACACATTAAGAACATGTTCACACGGTCACTTCTGTTTTTTTTAAATACACAGATTCATGAATTTTAACCTTCCTCAGTAAAACTTACCAACAATGAAGCATCTAGAATTATTTACGCATTCTTTTATGTATCTTCAGGCTCTAACTACCCTATGTGTAGGAATTATCATTAGGCATCCACAAATACTCTAAAATTTAAAGCAGATATTTATTATCTTACTATGGGATACCTACTATTTAACGGGTTTTGACAATTCTGATTTCAATTCCTCAAGATAGAAACCCAGGGCTCAGAGTTGACTCTGGACTGAAGAGAAAATGAGAGGTCTAACAATTAGGGAATCATTCCCTTTCTTCCAGAGGGTACCTATTCCACATCTAAATGGTGGTGTGAAAGACCACAAATGTAGGGGCGTGTGGGTGGCTCAGTCGGTTAAGCGTCCGACTTCAGCTCAGGTCACGATCTCACGGTCTGTGAGTTCGAGCCCCGCGTCGGGCTCTGGGCTGATGGCCTGGAGCCTGGTTCCGATTCTGTGTCTCCCTGTCTCTCTGCTCCTCCCCCGTTCATGCTCTGTCTCTCTCTGTCTCAAAAATAAATAAACGTTAAAAAAAAAAAAATTAAAAAAAAAAAAAAAGACCACAAATGTAGAAACAGAACAAATGACAGGTGTTTTCATTTGCTAGGTAAGTTTCCTTCTCTCCAGCCCCTGTCTCAATCAAACAAAATATTTCCCTAAGAATTTCTACCCCAAAGAGCTGGTTGCTCTAGGCCCCAAATTTTGTGCCTCGGAAGCCTTCCAAAGCAGTTTCCTGTCCAGATTACTGACCAAATGAAACCAGAATCCATAATAATCCAAAATACTCACAGTATGTTTGACAACTCTTCTTCCCTTGTGACAAAGTATATTTGATAAGAGAATTTACTACAGCTACAAAGAGGGCTATGTTTTGAGGACAAGCAGCTGGAAAATTTTAGCCACGGAAGTCGTTCAAAAAAGAGAGGGGTCATTATTTAAAAAATATTACCTGTTCTCCCAAGGGTCCATATATTCAAAATAAAACGTAGAGTATGTTAAGTCATAATAACCAGCAGCACTGTAAATTCTTGATGTTTTCATTGCCAGTTTCTTTTTCACACACAAAAACCCTAACGGTAAGACATGTGCTATATTTAACACATGCCAGAAATGCAGAGTCCACTGTGGTAGCACTGAGTCCTGAATGGTGGGAACAGTTTTACATTCGGTAGTAGGTAAGTTTTACTGCAAACCAAGCCGAAACTGGATAGAAAGTTATCAAATCTGATCATGTTCTTCTCACTCTGTGCCTATCAAAAGAAGAATCAAAGTTGGATACAAAAACCATTAACGCTTCTACTTAAAGTTCTAACTCTCTTTTCATCCAGGGCTGCGTTCCTATGGTTACGCTGCAGCTGCGACTTCAACCTCAAAAGTCACTTTATTTACAAATATTATAACTTAAATTGAAATATTTTAGTAGGAAACTGCATATTGTTAAAACCAAAAATATACTAAGCCTACAGATCTGCTGAGAATCCCACACAAACAGACAAATGTGTATTGTTCATTGCTAATGGTCTGGGTTAAAGGATTTGTCAAACCAACTCTTCCTTGGCTGGGCCACTAGAGAGTGCTAGAAATGCAGTTATATAGGACCCAAAAGATACAAAATACACCCCCTCCCCCCAAAAAGTCTGGAGCATAAAAGATGAAGGACATTAAGATTCCTCGCTGGTATACTACCAAAAAGTATTGCCAACACTGACAGATCTGAAGTTTGAGAGTATTTATCACCACCTCTTGCCTGTCTGTAGCTCGAGTTCTTCTTACTAGTGAATAACAAAGAATAACAGCTTTGAAACTAAGCAAGTGACATTAAAGGTTAATCCAAAACACAGCGCGCGCGCGCGCGCGCACACACACACACACACACACACACACACACACACACACACAGTGATTCCTTCCTTTAGGAAATGAGACAAAGCTAATGATGTGTTAAACTGGACTGTTAAACAAAAATTTTTTGTTAAAGCATTACAGGGGTGGGGCGAGAGAGAAGAAAAAAGCAAAAAGCAGGGGATTCCTTACTTGATCCAATACGAAGAATCTTACAGAGATCATATAAGCCCCAACGAATGAACTAACATGCAGCGGTAACAATACAATCACCTGAAGACTGATGGTTCCAACCAGGCTATTTTTTTTAAAAGCATATAATTCCATTAGCAAGAATCTCACTCTGATCCTAAGAGAAATCATCCCCGATTTTAGTTCATTCTAAGAGGTAATGCTTCCCAACACCGTTACTGTCAAAAAGAAAGAAAACCGGTGCTTAACATTCCCTACAATCTCAGGGCATGTTAGTTTCCCCTCCCCCCACCCCACCAAAAAGCTGTTCAAGGTGGAAACCTAATACACCTCCCAACCTTCCTAATATGCAAAATCGCGTCACACTGTACCAAGGTTTATTCAGATAAGAATGCCGTTATTTTCCGATTTCCAAATCATCAATAAGCCTAATAGGACATACATCTGAAAAACATAACGCTAAAAATGTAATTTCTTCAACATGTCACTGGAGGCGATCAGTTTCTGACTATAGCCTCTTAACGAGAAGGCACGCCACTCTCCCACCTTCCCAACAGACCGATCTTTTCTTATAAATCCATTCCTCCGTAGCTACAAGCGGTTCTCCAAACCACAACCGTGCTGATAACGAAATGGCTCTCCCGGATGTAGGTCTGAACACTGGCTTGACTTGTTCCATTCCCAACGGTCATCCCCTCCACCCACGTCCAAATCTGAAACGAGGCGGGGCGTTGCCATTTCCCTACAGTCGTTCCTGCGGACCCGGGAGCCGGTGAGGTGTTTTGCCCAGGCACCAAGACAATTGTAGCTTCACCCTAACAACTCCCGATCCCGACACGTGGTTCCGTTTCCCTGACCCAGGTAAGCTGTGATGCACACTCCTTCTAGAGCCCAAAATGGTGGCAAGCAACTGGCCTACAGCAGGCCACCCAACAGTCCCCGGAGTCTTTGTCCCTTTTTAGTTTTCTTTGTCTTACATTTTCTTCACTGCCCCCATCCCCCCCCCCCGAACCCTCCCCCGCCCTGGAAGATTCCCGGGTGAGGCCCAGGGCTGGAACGTGGGACACCTGCCTCCTAGGGACCAAGCTTCCACCGCAACCCTGGAAGAGAAAACCTCCCGGTTCCCAGATCTGCACTCACCCACCCCCGGAACTGGACACGCCCCAAACCCCGCCCCTGCTCCGTCCCCACCCGCGCAGCGGAGGGGCGGAGGAAGGTGGGGGAGGGGAAAAGAGGGCGCGGGAGGGAGGGGGCGGAGGGAGGTTGGGGGGGAATTGGAAAGGAGAAGCGCCCTACCCCCCCCCCGCCTGCGAACACCGCCCAAAGGGGTCGGCAAGAAACTAGCAAGCCCTCCCTTCCTTCTCTTCGCCCCCAACAGGGCCCAAAAGCCCCATCACAACCAGCTCGCCGGGCAGCGCTGCAGCACGAGGGGTCTCCTCCGGCCCCCAGCGCAGCCCGCAGTTTTCCCGGGGGAGAGGGGGTCGCACCTTGCGCTTGCGGGCCTCCGCCGTGCCGCTCCACACGAAGCACTGGTAGATGGCCCGCAGGTTCTGCTTCCAGTTGTCCACCTTGAAGCTGCTCAGGTGCGAACAGCCCGGCGGCGTCACCACCAGCTCCGCGTCCATGGCCTCGCTCTCCGGCTCCGGCCGGGAGACCATGGGGGGCAAGGCCCGGCCGCGCGCGGGGGGCGGCGAGGGGGACGAGGACGACGCCAGCGCGACGCGGGGGGCTGCTCGGCGGCGCGCCCCGGCCGGCGGGAGACGGGCGCCGGGAACAA